AAGCTCATTTTACTTTGGATATGTCCATAGCTGTGGTTTCTGGGTTGTGTCCTCTTTTGTATCAATGGTCGGTTGCTATTCGCTATTTTTGGTTCTCTATTGAAAGGACTCTCTTTAGTGTCTCTTGTAAGGTTGGTCTGGTTTTAACAAATTCCTTTAGTTTCTGTTTATCTAGAAATCTCCTAATTTCACCATCATATTTGAGGGACAATTTTGCTGGGTATATAATTCTTGGTTGAAAATTTTTCTCTTTCAGGGTTTTGTATATACTATCCCATTATCTTCTCGCTTGCATGGTTTCTGCTGAGAAATCAGAGCTTATTCTTACTGGCTGTCCTTTGTAAGTAACATTTTGTTTTTCCCTTGCGGCTTTCAGGATTCTGTCTTTGTCTTTGGTTTTGGTGAGTTTGACGATGATGTGTCTTGGTGATTTCCTTTTGGAGTCTATCCTGTTTGGGGTTCATTGGATCCTGAATGGACGTATTCTCATCTTTCATCATATCAGGGAAGTGCTCCTCCAACAGATATTGGACAATTTTCTCAGTGGTTTTATTTTTTTCTTCCTGTTCTGGAATTCCAGTGACACGTAGGTTATTCCTTTTAATGGTATCACACATGAATGTTAGGCTTTCTTCATTTAAAAAATTTTTTTTTTTCTGATTTATCCCCTTTCAAAGAAGTATTCAGGTATTTGTCTTCAATCTCATTAATTCTGTCTTCCATTTCATCAATTCTTCTCCTTTGCCCTTCCAATGTGTTATCTATTTCTGACAATTTAGTATTAATCTTCTGGATTTCTATCTGTAGATTTAGAATGATTTCTAATTTTTCATTTATTTTATCATTTTGTTCTTGTATTTTCTTCCAGAATTCTTCTAGGGTTTTTTTCTGTATTTTCTTTGGTTTGTTTCTCAGTCCTTTGAAGATACCTAAATATCATTCTTTTGAGTCACTTATCAGAGAGTTCCAGTGCTGCTTCTTCCTCAGGGATGTGTTCTGGATCTGTATCCTGTTTACTTGTTTCTACCACTTTATCTTGCTTTTTTGTGTGTACTGTGATGGTCTGTTGTCTCGGAGACATTGTGGTGGTGTTGTATTAAGATCTCTGTTAACTCTTTGTGAAGAGCAGCCAAAGGTGATCAGGCTCTTCTTGGTGGTTTTTTATCGTTGGCCCATTGATGGAGAAGGAGGTGGTGGCTCTTGGTCATTAAGTGAAGTTGCAGGATGTGTGGGTGTAGTTGTGTCTTATAGGGACTGTTGCTCTCTCCCACTCAATTAGATTAAAATTACAACTGAATCACCATCAAAAAATTAAAAGCACATGGACAAAATATACATCATGTAATCACACAGGAACAGTAACCAAAAAGGAAAAAGAAGAAGCAAAAAACAAGAAAACCTGCAATATCTGGGGATAGGGACTAAGAGAAAAAAGGTAGAGAAGGAGAATAATGAAGAATAAATGGGAAAAATGCAAAAAGAAAAACAAGGAACAGGTTTAACCATCAGAAAAAAAAAGAAAAAAATTTACAACCATGAACAGGGAAAAGGAAAAGAGCTGAAAACTAGGACCTGGGAGGGGAAGAATAAAGAATAATAGTAAAAAGGACAAAAATAATAGTAGTTTCAAAACAGACAAAAACAAACAAACTGAAAACCAGAAAAAAGAATGAGATAAAAAAAAAAACCTTGGGGGAAGGGAGGACAGGGCACCCAGGCTCTGCCTGAGCACACAGACTGGGATGGAGTTACTGCAGTCCCAGAAGGCGGGTAGGAGTGGGGAATGGCAGCACCTCCGTTCACCAAGGGGTGTGGGTTATAAGAGTAAGAAGGAGAATGTCGTACCTTTTCAGTCCATGTCTTGAGTGTCCTTGGGGTTACTGGCAAGCAGAACCTGTTCTTAAGCCCCTGGAATCTCAGAGAGCGCAGTCCCTTTAAATATCCAAAATGGTCAAGCTGCTTGTAAACATTCAAAATGGCAGTGTCCTCCGGACAGGCAAAAGCTCAGCCTGCCTTTCTTTTTGCTGGTGCTTCGTGTTTTATTCCCCGACCATCAGAGCAGTCCTCTGTGCAGTCCCTGGGTAGCAGGGCTGAGTTTTAGGTTAATTCTTAGGTCCTGTCACCACTCGTCAGTCTCCAAGCTGTCTGTGCCATGGCGTCAGGCTTGCTCAGGATCACTGCCAGACCGCAGCTCCGTATGTCTCCTTTTTTTGGCATTTTCATGCAAATACTTCTGCTAGTTGGAGTTTAGTCTACTTCTATATCCTTCCCTTCAAGGTTCAGGGGTTCAGGATTATCTTCTGTGTCTGTGTTAAATGGTTCCCCTTTTCTTTGTTGAAGAGGGTCTGTGCAGTCTTTCTCCCTATTCCACCATCTAACCAGAGGTCTGGAATGGGTATTTCTGAAAATTGACAATTTTGTCCCATTTTTGTTTTTATTAGAGGTTTATAGTGGGTCTACTATTTTGCCAGAGAGGTACTGTTAAAATATGTGCAAACTTTTTTTTTTTTTTTACAAAATTTTTGTAATAGCTCACTATTTTTGTTGTGTCCTGTCTAATCAGTTCTGACTCATACTGGCCCTCTATGACAGAGTAGAACTGCCCCATAGGGTTTTGTAGGCTGAAGTATTTACAAGAACCTATCTCCAGGTCTTTTATTCTGTGGAGCCACTAGTGGGTTTGAACTGCCAACCTTCTAGTTAGCAGCTGAGCCCTCGTTGTGCCACCAGAGCTTCTCATAATAGCTAGGTGTTAACTCAGCTTTAATGTTCAGATAAATCATGTGACAATAGTGTATGAATGCAGATTTTGATTCAGTAGATTTGGGCCAACACCCAAGAATCTGGATTCCTCAAAAGCTCCTGGGTGACATGGAAGTCTTTGAACCACACTTTGAGTAGGTGTAGTGTAAAGGAGTATACTTCAGTGAATTTTCTTAGAATATCCTTTTGTGAATCAAAATCCATAGTTTATCAGTTTTTTAAATTTATGTTTTAGCATATACCAAAGAACAAGCAAACAAACAAAAAAACTCACTGTCATCAAGTCAGTTCCAACTCATAAAATGCCCATTGGTTTTCCAAGGCTGTAGATCTTTACAGAAGTAGATTGCCCCCTTTTCTTCTGCAGAGCAGGTGATGGCTTTGATCTGCACCAGCATAGCATGTAGGGTTGGTTTTTTTTTTTTTTTTTTTTTTTAATTGTGATTTGGGTGAAAATTTACAGTGCAAATACACTTTCCATACAGCAGTTCACATACACTTTGTCTCGTGACATTGACCATAATTTAGCACAATGCAACATCTCCCCTCCCACTTCTTCCCAATAGTTACCTCTTCCCTGTGCCCATCCCTCCATGCACTCCTACCCCATGAGCTGTCTCCCTGTGCCTGAGCAGCCCTTCTTTCTCTCATGCTTATTCTCTCCAAGGAGTGTATCTACCTCAGGTAAATACTCAACTGATATGCGTGTCTATTGTTTGGCTGGAAGCCACAGGTGTGTGTTCAATTCCAGACCTGAAGGGCAGCTAGGGGCCATAGTCTCAGTGGTTCCACCAGGCTCCTTCGGGCCAACAAACTTGTTCCCCACTTTTTTTTTTTTTTTTTTTTCCAAATAGCATGTAGGTTTTATTGATGTGGTACACACTCTAGTTGTATTTATCCTGGTAGTATTTATTATTACATTCAAAGGAAATAAAAGTAATATAATAAATAGGAAGGCAGAAGATGGGTAAAGAAAAAAGAAGTCTGAAATTTTGTTGATTTCTGGAAGTTTTGGGGTGAAACATAATATGCCTGAGTTTCCTAATGAAATATCAAGCTATCTTTAAAATATGATTATATCATAAATAACTCAATATTCTTTACGTAGCACAGAGGAGAGAGTGAGGCTTTCTTCATGGAACTTTTTCTTTTTTCTTAACCAAGTTAAAGTCCAATTTGGTATTTATTTTATTTTATCATAGTGAATTATTTTTATCTTTAATTTGTTAGATAATATCTGTTTTGCCAAAGGGGTCCAGTTTAGCACAATCACAGTTATGCTGTCTTTCATATATAAAGATAACATGCCCTACCAACTTCCTTTTAGCTGGTCTTTCTTTAGCGGTGATAGACTTTATTTGATCCCTTTATATCATTTTTTGTCTGGACCTTTCATTACTAAAAACATGTTTACAAACTCTCTATCCATGGGAGATTAACAAGGACCATGGCCTCTGGACCACAGGTACACTAACCAAATAGCTAACCGCAAACAGCTTCCATTAAAGTGATAGATTTTAAAAGATTGCGAAGGAATATAATTGGTTTTTCAGCCAACTTGCTGGTTAAGAGCATTAATCTGTGTTTGCTGGTGGAATTAGGAAACGTGAAGCCCAGGTATGACTGGTGTGATGGGTGATCTGGTTCATTTTCTTCCAGACTTCCGCCCAGTGTGCTATGAGGAGCCACAGCACTGGTGTTCTGTCGCTTATTATGAACTGAATAACCGAGTTGGAGAGACATTCCAGGCCTCCTCCCGAAGTGTGCTGATAGATGGATTTACAGATCCTTCTAATAACCGGAACAGATTCTGTCTTGGACTTCTTTCCAACGTAAACAGAAACTCAACAATAGAAAATACCAGGAGACACATAGGAAAAGGTAAAAGCAAATATGTAATTCCTTTATAGATCCTTCTGAGCTAAAATATGGAAGTAGAGGTAAACCATGTCTGTGTAATCTACAAGAGACAATTCAGGCATTACTGTTGGATAAAGCCCATAGGCTTTCGGGATCTTAGTCTCTCTCACTCTGCCTTTAAAATCTGCATATCAGATGGGTGGCACGGGGTGAGTATTGTGAAGACAAGCAAAATGTAAGTATGAAAGTAGAATAAAATTATTGAATGGAAGTATTATGTATTATTTTTGAAGTGCTTAATTTTGCTACCTGAGATACTTTCTCAAGAAGACGAACTCTGACTGGATGATTCTTTCTCAGGTAAAGTTCCCTAATCATATCAGGTAAAATTACCTTTGAAAAGTTAGGTAGTTAAAAAATCTTGCTTGCAGTTAGTGTATGATTATGACTTATTTATGGTTGGGAGCCTTTGGTGGATGACTGATGTTTGCCTGTCTCCAGGGTGATTGTTGTGACAGAGCTGCCTTCACCAGAGTCTGGCTAATGATACTTCTGAAATCCTTCTTACCTATGTGATCAGTAGTAGCAAATCCATGCTACTGGTTTAGGATCTTAATTTTTTTTTTCTTTTTCCATTAGAATAGCTAGTAGTCTATGAGTAACATACAAAAAACAAAAACAAAAAAACCTCATTGCCGAAGAGTCAAATCTGACTCATAGCAACCCCTCCCCTTGGGTTTCCGAGGTGGTATCTCTATGGTAGACTGCCCAGTCTTCCTCTCGAGGAGTGCTGGTGGGTTTGAACCACCAGCCTTCTAGTTAGCAGTCAAATGCCTTAGGCACTACACCACAGAGCTCATATAGCTCACCAAGTAACAATTAGTTGTCCACTTTGACATTGTAAACATCCTGTTTACTCTGGAATCACAGGTGTGAAGAACCCTCAGAGTAATTTGATCTTTTCTCCCCTCACCTCAGGAAAGTATCTATGAGCATTTCTTTTCAAATTCCCAGGAGAAATTTATTATTTCTCTTGGTGATGCATTCTAATATTCTTCCTAATATACTTCCCAAATGTCTCCTGTTACAGTAAACCTACACGCCATTGATTAGGCACAGGTTGAATTCGTTCATTAATGTTGACATTTAATGAGTTTTTTGTATAATGGTGACAGTTACTTTATGTTTAATTATGTTCTGTTTCCAGAGAGTCTTTGAGGTGGTTTTCAAGAAACCTTTGCAATAAAATAATAAATCAAAAAGTAGGAAATCAGAAAATGGGAGGATGAAAAGAGCACAAGTATGTCATCCAAAAAGGTTAACATTGTGATTGCAATTAAAATTTTGCTTTAGGTTTCTTGACAGGGAAGAGAGAAAAAAGAAACTCAATCTGTCATGTAATTCTTACCCAAAAGGAGAGAGATATTAACCTCTCAAAGGAAATGATACTTTTACTTTGACCGAATTCTTAAATTTCTGAAGAATGGCTTTAATTTCAAATGACTTTTAGAACAATTTTCAGTGAAATCTACAAACTAAACATTAAAATGTAATGTTGTTGAGCTTTTTGTTAAGGGAGCTTTGCATATTGGTCTGCATGTTAGACTTCTGCTGGTGCTTGATTCAGAGACAGAGTTTAAAGTACCTAAAGGAGTATTAAATACCTCCTGGGACCTTTTTTTGAAAGTAGCTTGTTCAACATACTACTGATGAGGACATAGGGAGTTGGTGTTCTGTGAGAGCTAATCCATAGGGTTAAAAAACCATATGAGCAAGCTCCAGGACTGCTGGCCTATTATGAGAAAGCCAAAAAGGAAGAACATACTTGACATTCTTAAGCTGAAAGAGCAGAAGGAAAAATTCAAGCCTTGAGTTGCAATATGTAAGGATTCTATGGAAAAAATAAAAAATGATGCAGGAAGCATCACAAGAAGATGGCAGGAATATATAGAGTCATTGTACCAAAAAGAATTGGTCACTGTTCAGCCATTTCAGGAGGTAGCATATGATCAAGAACCGATGATACTGAGGAAAGAAGTCCAAGGTGCACTAAAGGCACTGGCAAAAAACAAAGCTACAGAAATTGACGGAATATCCATTGAGATGTTTCAACAAATGGATGCAGCACTGGAAGTGCTCACTCGTTTATGCCAAGAAATTTGGAAGACAGCTACCTGGATAACTGAATGGAAAAAATTTATATTTTCACCCATTCCAAAGATAGGTACAGTGTTGTGCGTTGCATAATATGGCCCAGTCCTCCATTTTGTGATGTATTGTCAATCCTAGTCTCTATGCCTGCTTAGGGTGGGATGTACCTTGAGTCCTGCCTTGCTGGAGTGTATGGCTCAAGTCACCACCCTTACTTTCCTTGAGGATATATGTGCGAATGTTCTGGGAAAGTTTGCTGTCTTGCTGTAGTCTTGCATTGGGTTTGTCGTCATCTTATCCCTGGACATGAAACAGCAACCGGTCATCTGACCTGCTGATTTTGGTTCACCAGCTGCTGCAACCACTAAGTGAGAAGAATCTTCCAGGCCTACCCATGGACTTGGGAGTTGCCAGCCTCCCAGCCTCCACCACCACATGAGCCATTTCCTTGGCAGTTTGTGAGTTCTGTGAGACATTACAGTGAAATACGGAACCCTGAGACAGGAGGGAGAATCCTGAGAGGAGGAGGAGGAGTTGATGTTAGAGATGATGGAGTGGTACAGCAGTTTGGAAAAGTTGGACATTTGAGACATCTTTAACCTCTCTGCCTCATAGGAACCAGCCTTGTGCTGAGCCTTCCAAAAGAAATTATTCAAGCAACAGGTGACCCAACAGAATGCAGAAATTATTGAACAATATAATTAATATCACACACAAGTAGAATGTTGCTAAAGGTAATTAAAAAATGGTTGCAGTAGTACATCAAGAGAGAACAGCCAGAAATTCAAGCCAGATTCAGAAAAGTATGTGGAATGAGGGATATTATTGCTGATGTCAGATGGATTTCGGCTGATAGCAGAGAATACCAGAAATATGTTTACCTGTGTTTTATTGACTGTGCAAAGACATTACACTATGTGTATCATAACAAATTATGGATAACATTGCAAAGAATGGGAATTCCAGAGCACTTAATTTTGTTCATGAGAAACCTATGCATAAACCAAAACGGTTGGAACACAAAAAGGGGATTGTGATAGTTGAAGATGTGTCAACTTGGCTGGACTTCACTTGTGAGTGGTGGTTCCCATGATGGATCACATGACTGCGTCCTAAGCGGCCGGTCAGTCTAGGGGGAGTTTCCCCAGGGGTGTGGCCTACCTGTAATACTATCCCAGGAACAAACTGGAAAAACGGCATTCCAGATATATGCTTCCTGGAGCAAGCAGCTCGCTGCGCACCCCGGAGGAGCCTTTCGGATTCTTTCTTTGTTGGGAACGGTGACCCTGCGTGTCAGTTTTGATTCTCCCGGCTCTGCTGCGCTTGCGGGAACCAGACGACTCCGGGCCCCATCTCTCGGCGACCCTGCGTGTCAGTTTGATTCTCCCGGCTCTGCTACGCTTGCGGGAACCAGACGACTCCGGGCCCCATCTCTCTCCAGAGACGAACTTTGTGACTTGAACTCCTCTGCCGTGCGTGTGAAAGCCAGACGGCCCTGGGCCCCATCCCCCTCCAGAGACGAACTTTTCAGCTTGAACTTGTCGGCTTCTACACGCTTATGAGCCATTTATCTAAGATAAATCTCTCTCTCTCTCTCTCTCTTTCTCTCTCTATAAATATATATATATATATATATATACTTTGCTGGTTTTTGTGTTTCTCTAGAGAACCCAATCCAACACAGGGATACTGCATGGTTTAAAATCAGGAAGGGAGTGTGTCAGGGTTGTATCCTTTCATCATACTTATTCAATCTGTATGCTGAGCAAATAATTCGAGAAGCTGGACTACATGAAGAAGAATGCAGCAAGCACCAGGATTGGAGAAAGACTCATTAATAACTTGTGATATACAGATGACACAAGCTTGCTTGACTTGAAACACTTAATGATGAAGATCAAAGACTACAACCTTCACTATGGATTGATTACACCTCAACATAAAACTAAAATCCTTACAACTTGACCAGTAAGTAACATCATTGTAAATGAAGAAAACACTGAATTTGTCATGGATTTCCTTTTACTTGGATCCACAATCAAAACGCACTGAAGCAGCAGTCAAGAAATCAAATGTTGCACTACATTGGGCAAATCTGCTGCAAAAGACCTCTTTAAAGGGTGTTCTGGTTACCTAGGACCGCTCTGACAGGAAATATACCAGAAATGTGATGGCCTTAACAAACAGGAGTTTATTCTCTTACATTTCAGGAGGATAGAAGTCCCAAGTTCAAAGTGCCAGGCTCTAGGGGCTGCGTGAGAGCCCCTCCAGCCTTGGGCTTCAGCTCTGCCTCCAGCTCCCAGCCCACTGAAGCTAGAGGCTTTTCTTCACTCACACAGCTGCTGGCTTGCTGAGACTTCCAAGCCCAAAGTTGACAAGTAAAAAGGTACAGTCCCGATATTACCAAATCACATGGCAGGCCATTAATTCAAGTCCATTGTAAGTCCCAAGGTTGGTAGAGCATGTCAGGCTGCTGAACAATGACATGGCTACATGTAGGGTTCAGGCGTGCCATAATGCGTTCCCAAAGCTGCTACTTATATACAAGGAAGCAGACCACATACCCAAAGGCAGGTACTCAGCTGCTCACAGTAGATTCCATCATGGAGTTGATTACCAGGCTCATCATGGGGAATACTACATCCAGCTGCCCAGCCACTGAACCAGACCCAGCCAAGTTGACACACAAACTGAACTACCACAAAGGATTAAAGAGCAATGATAGCACTTTGAAGACTAAGATGCCCTGACCCAAGCCATAGTATTTTCAATTGCCTCATATGTAAAAGTTGGACAATGAATAAGGAAGACCAAAAAAGAATCAATGCATTTGAATTATGGTGTTAGTGAAGAGTATTGAATATACCATG